GGACTACAGTGCATGAATTGTCGCTCTTACAATAAATCTTCTCCAATTCACTCCAATTTACTTTATGATCTTCTTTGATTCGCAAGCCAGCTTGTTGTTGCCAATATTTGCTGATCATCTGAATTCTCATTAAATCAGATATGTTGGTCATATGCGGGAAAATATGAGCCTCAAAAATCGTCTCCCAAGCCCCAAATTTTTTAGATGAATTAGAATCTTCATTGGCCAACTCTATACTCTCCATTTGTTTATAAGAATACGTAAATATGTTTCAAAAGTAGGAAACTCTAGGGTGTTATAGTAACAGGGTTATAAATATATATGCAAGTCCCTTCCAAAAAGTAAATTTTAAACTATTTTTTAAATATATCCTCATTGGTAACTGAACAATTTTAGGTTTTTCAAAATTTGATAATATATGATGCATGCGGTTTGCTAGCCCTTGAACAAATTTTGACAATTTTAAAACACTTCTAATTTAAGAGTTCATATAAATTTATATTACATGTAACACAAAATAACGAAAACATAATCAATGACACATAATAACGCTTAGGTAAATAGATAAAACACTAAAAACAAACTAATACACTAATACTGTATTTTGCACACAAATAAGTTGTAGTAGTGCATGAACAACATCTAGAACTATAATAAAAACCGATTTTTCCGAAGTACTCCTTGTAGATAATGATGTATGGACGCCTAATCCCACGTTGAGGTCCTCGTTCATATCTGAAGTTAGGTTCATGCATGTGCTGCCATTCCCAATTAGCCCTGTAGGGGGTGTCGTGCACAAAGAATAGAATAAGTCTACCCCATTCCCTACAAGTCAACATGACTTTGGATAGGGTTCTCTTAGACATACATCCCCATATTTTTTCTATTAAGTCTTGATTCTTCCATAAGCAAACGTCTGCCGGATCAAGAGGTACAATAACATGAGATTGCACAATTGAAAGTATAAACCTCTAGGCAACTGTCTCCTCCACTTAGGGTCAATGGCGAGCTCCAAAACCCACTTCACACAAGAGCATTGTGTAGTTTCAGAATGAGGGTATGAACTTTCCATCAATTCCTTTTTAAATTCATCGGTTTCGAATTCCATCCTGTACCAAGTCTGGAAATTGGGAATTAATCAAATGCTCTCTAATGGAAAGACACAGTACACACATGTAACTTAATTACTCGGATATGAACAAAATTACAACATTTAAGTGTAACAAATAATTTCTAGTATCCAAACCTATTTTAAAGTTTTTAATAGAAGTACAACTTTAAGTCATTAAGTAAAGTCAATATTGGGAAAAGATAAAGAAATCAATATTTATACCGATTTCCTCCAATCGAGGAGAGCTTGGGTGCCGGTCTGGTTCTCATTAATGTCGTCAATCTGAAAGTTTATTAAAATTTAAAAAATGAATAAAATAATTTAATAGATTTAGGGGATAAATTGATAAAATAATATACTAGTATCTGTGTTAGTAGAGTGAATATTGATTAAAATAATCATTTAAACTTTTATTTTTTTTAAATTCACCCAATTCCATTAAATATATACAAGTTAAGTTTAAAAAAAAACATAATTAGTAAATTTCATTCATATAAGTATATCAAAATTATTTGTCACAAGTTGTTTCTATTTTCGAACTATGTAATTTTAAGACAAAGAATCACATCACCTTTTGGCGCTTATATAAATTTGATGATGATCCATCGTCTTCATCGCACTCTAAGGGACGTTTCCCTTTACGATCAACATCCTACCACAAAAAGTAAGAGTGAAATGATGAACAATAAACAATCACATCAACTTAATTACCCAAAAATTAAATAATAGAAAATCGGATTTTTGTAAAAGATATTTGTTCATAATAAAACTCTAGTTACTAAAAAATATCCAAATTACAAATAATTGCACAAAACCTCTTCAATTCCATTTCCGTCGTCGATGTTCTTTGGTTGTCGTGTATTTGGTGCCTAAATTCATTTAAAAGGACACCAATAATATGTTAAGAATATATGGCACCACCATATCTACACATGATGAACAAAATTAAGGGAAGACATTAACAATAACATCAACTTACACCCTCAGCGACGGAGACGTCATCCACATCTGAAATTTCTGTGATTTTAACCATGTTGAAGGAAGTAAATGTTTGAATTTTTGCGGGAGCGGATTATATTTTGTGAGTTTATTTTTGTTTTTTTTTTGGTAAATGGAATTCTTAAATAGAAAGTGACGGTTTATAATTTCCTTTGTCAAGATGTATGGGTGAAATGAGTGGGTAGTTTTTTAAGTTTGTGATGAAATAACTTCTAAAATAGGAGTAGTGGTTTAATTTTTATTTTTTCGACTGATTAACTTTTTGTAAATTATGTAAGAATTTTTAAAAATAATTGTCCTTTTTTAAAAAAAAACCAAAGTTTAAGTCTTGAAAATCTTGTGACAACTTGTATGTAACATTAAAATTATGGATTGAAAAAAAAGTGGAATTATAAACTTTTTTAATACAAATGAATCTAGAGATGGAGACAAATGTGTTGTGAATTGGGTAGTCAATCATGGATGGACGAGATTGATAACAAAATTGGAATTCATTTATCTCATTTTCATGTGATGAGTTGAGTCTATTATGATTGAATCCGAAGATTATAAAATCTCAATACCGGTTGAGTGTATTAGGTTTTAAGCCGTGTGAATAATACCTTTAATTACACAACATTAGTATACAATCTTCCTACCATATGAACGTGACATGATTTAAGCCTTGTGGATTGAGCGAAAGATTAAAAATTGCGAGTATACAATTTCAATGCCATATGAGTGTGTATTGAATTAAGTCGTGTCGATTCTACGATTAATTTGTAGTTTGTGATTATACATTTTCAATACCACATAAGCGTGTCAAGGTTTTAACCGTCTTGGGAATTCAGATGCTTACAAAATGCGATTTATTACAAAATTAGGCGTATAGAGTCTCAACACCGTATGTGTGTATCTTGATTCAAGCTTTGTCAATAATTATAACAATACATGGTTGACGGGTATACAATAATGATGTGTTATACCACGACAGTGTAATTGAATGCGATTACGGTCATGTTACCCGTTTTGGTAGAATATATACCCTAATAAAATTATAAATAATTAGGCAAGTCAGTTCCATGTGTTATTTGTGTCAACCGGAAACTTAATATTACAGTAGCATATGTAGATGAAATGATAAGTCTATCATAAAACCAAAACCAAGCCCTAACCACTGCACCCTTAACCTTAAAGAATTAGGGTTGGAGATAAGCCGAGCATAGATGAGTACTACCTTTACAACCTTACACAATTAGGGTTGTAGTTAAGCCGAGCCTATATGAGTACTACCCAATAATTAGATTAGTACTACCTTCTCCATGTTCAAGTTTAGTCAACTTATTAGGTGAGTCCGAACACGATCCCGGGCTTTGAAGCAAGCCTAAGCATCTGCTCAAGGTCACCCGAATTAATTTCATATATGTATGCGAGTCGTTTATGAACGACTCTATTATTATTATTAACTGCGCGTTTCATGAACAAGCTTAGTGTATATATGTGTCATGAACATAGATATACCAGTTGTTCATGAAATAATCTGAACAATTAAGTGTAGAAGCTAAGAGACGCACATGATGTGTGCGTGTACAATATAATTATTATCCCAAGGCCCAAGCTACCGGATTCTTGTATTATTCAACAACTTAATCGTATTTTATATTAAAAATACAAGCTGTTAGACACACGCAAATTGCGTGTGCAACATAAGAAATTAATATGCATGGCGCGATTCTCTTTTTCTTCCTAAAATATTATCTACCTTATTCTAATAAAAAAATAAATAAAGGGTGGTAAGTTTTTTATTTTTATTTGTTTATTATTTTTTTTTTAATGGTAGTTATATTTTTAAATTATGGTAGTTTTCTTTTGAAAATTAAAAAAGATGAAAGGGGTATTTTGGGAAGTGAAATTTATCAACCAAAACCCCCTTTCATTTATATATTACTATAGATACAATTAGTGGGTTACTATTTTTTTTTTAAAAAAAATAATAATAATATTAGGATGGTAGTTTTCCTTAATACAAGGATGGCAGTTTTTTCTATTTTTATTTTATTTTGTGAGGGGAAGGATGGCAGTTTTTTTTTATTGAATAAAAAGAAGGTATTTTTTATTTAAAATATTGAAATTGTGAATAAAAAGAGTGGTTTATTACTTTAACGAACATGAACAAACTAAAACCGATATTGAACTAGAGTTGTTTATTTGTCTGGTCGGTTCATATACACCTCCGTCCATAAATGTTATAGATTCAAAGTTTTTAACAAATAATTTTGAATCAAATTTATTTTTACTAATACAAATGTTAATTTACTTTGATCATTAATGTAAATTAAAAATTTATGAGTATTAAAAAATTGGTGTCAAATAATTATTACAATTACGTAATAAAATGAATGTATCATAACATGTAAATAGTAATCAGGAATTTCTATGCTTTAGTTAAAAATTAAAAGAATTAAAAAAAATGCAACAATTGGACCTCAGCAATCACAAACCGACAACCCTATACACCTAGTGCCTATACTTTTGATTTGACAAGTCAGAGTTTTTCATGCAAAATATTTTTCGTTTTGGTTTGCCTTTTTTTTATTTTATACAAATAATTATGCTTACACGTTGTTTTAGGCGTCTTACAATTAATACCTTAAGATTCTCTAGATTTTCTGGTGTCATTAGCTTAATTCTATACTATTTAATTATTTAATCATTTATTTTTAGTCAATTGTATTTTTTAAATTTTTTTTTTAAAAAACGAAGTGTTATAATGTTTTTACTTAGTTATCACTTTATTGTTAAAAAACAACTTTTAATATTCATAAATTCAAGCGTATTTTTTTTTCTTCGTAATAGTTTCGTAATAGTTTTCTTTCATAGAAAAAGAAACATTAATTTATACAATACGTTACTCAATAAAAAAAACTAACCAATTAAAATATAAAGTAAATACTGTTTCCTAATAAAATTAAATAATGTATAATAATGGCTTATGAGAATAAATGATGGATTATTATAAATGATTTAATATTAATTAACTGTCAAAAAATAAAAATTGCATATTAATTACCATGTAAAGCGGTTAAGATACATAATTCTAGAACATAGATATTCTACCCGCCTTCGTTTCATTTTCTCCATTTTCACTTAGAATTCAAACGTTTCTTCACATTTGCTCCTCAGTTATCCTCTGTAATCACTTCAAACTATTAGTTTAATTCTAAAACTTCAAAGTAACTGCCTTCATCAACGACTCAACACACCATGGATGCGTCTGGAGAATCGTAAGTGTCTTAATTGTTTTGTAGACAAAATTTCATGCATTTAAATTATTCCCCGATTGTAGTAGAACTTTGATTCTGAAAATTGCAAGCTTAGTGTTGAACTCAAATTATAATTCAATTTGCAAATTAATAGGGTTTTCAAAGATTGTAGTTAATTGTACACTAGTTTATTGATTAGCGATTTACATAACTCAATTTGTTTAATTGGCGTTGCTATTGCATGTTGTTCCGACTGCTGTTGTTCGTGGGGGAAAAAAATTAGAATTATTAATTACATAGAATGCTTTAAAACCCTAACAGGATCGTCCACTGTGAATGCTTCACGCTTCGCTAATTAAGTTGGTATTTTGTGTAAATTAATAATGAAAATTTATAAAAAAAAAAAAAAAACTAGCCTTTCAGTAGATTAAATAACAAGCGTTTCCATGTTATTTTCATGTGGGTCTGAAGCAATCCAAAGGACGTTCTAAACAACGATCCTGCGTTGAATAATTGGGTAGATGTCACTATTACGGCATCAGTAATTGCGTCTGAGTCTGAGGTAACAATTTATAATTTGCTTGATATCTTAATGTTCTTAGAAGCGATGTTTTAATTGGAATAATTTGAGTAAATTGTCTACTTGACAGCATCAGATTGGAGCACCAAATGTTCCTGGTCCTGAACACAACAAAGTTACAGAAGATGCACATAGCGCTGACCCTAATCCTGAAAGTGAAGTAAGTCCTGTGTTCCACCAAAGTACTTCGTATTTATATTTACAATTGACTGCAATGTTTTGCAAGATTGATTAGTTCCTTTTGGATAAGAAGCAATTGTAATTGTTAATAGACACTAAGAAACCAAAAATGATACATTTTATGTAACACTCTAGCAACAATAATAAGTGTTTTCACCCATTATGAAGACCTAGTGAAGTGTATATTTATATTTTGTCACATTTTGTGCAGACAAATGTTTCAGGGGGGCAGGGTCATAGAAGGGTACTATCATGGATCATAGTACTGAGACCCAAGACAAGGCAAAAACGGGTTTGGTACTCAACCAATTACCGACTGGATCAGAGAGATCATCGAAGGAATCAAATGCATCTTCAGTAAGTTCACCATTACTCTATTCATACAAAAATGATGCATATTTAAATTATTATGTTGTGTAAAATTTGGGATATTTTGTTATTATGTGTAAAAAAAAGCCTCCAGCAGAAGGGAATGGTGGAGAGGGTGAGACTAATGCCACCGATGAGGGTGAAGATGCAGTTTTGGGAAAGGAATCAAGGGCATCTGCAGTAAGTTAACCCTGACTCTATTAGTACAGAAATGATGCAAGCAATTTAATTTATTGTATTGTATAAGATTGGGAATGAATCTGACAATTCTGTTTTATGTAAATAGGCTTCACTATTAGGGGATGTAGGACAGGATGCTGGAGCACAAGGTGGGGATAAGTCTCATGTTCAAAGTGGACAGGGAGTTGGGGATGAGAACCCAGAGCTTGGTGGAAATGAGTTAGGGGATAAGAACATAGAGGAAGAGGTAAGTTGTTACCTAATTTTTTTATAATAGATCCAATTATCAAAATGTACATATTGTAATATTTAATATAAATGAATGAGTTGCTTTGTCACTTACTAGGAACCCCCATAAGAAGAAAGCAGCAGAAGAAAAAGAAAGCAGCGTCCCGGAAAAGAAAAAGCATTTGAAAATGTCGTTCCAATTGTCATTACGGAAGGTGAAGAAGAAGAAACTGAACCAACAAATAAGAAAAAGCGTGGAAGGCCATGCCTCCCCGATCACAAAAAAAACAAGCCTATACATGTTATATCTTAAATTAAATATAAATTTGACAATGTTGGTGGTATAAATTACTATACCTGATTACAATGTACTCGTTAAAATGACAATATATTATATGATGCAGTATCCTGTTATGAGGATTTATCCAGACAGAGTAGTCGACGCAGTACCAAAAGGCACTACTCAAAAGGAATGGATTAGGGAGGCTGGATTTTCCACATTTCTAGATGTGAAGTTTAATGAACTTGACCGGTTTTTTCTGTCGTGGTTAATGGGTCGGTGGGATCCTGAAACCCAGTTACTACGCATTAGGGATGATTATGAGATCAAGATCACTGATGAAGTGGTGGGGTGGATATATGGGCTGCCGTTCAGTGATTATACATTCACTATTGAAGACAGTGTTACAGGTAATAGGATAAGATTTTATAGCTTTGGAAACAAATTATGATAATGAATACACTTTATATAACCTCCCATTGTATAGATCGTATAATGTGAAATTTGAACAGATTTGTCCTTATGGTGTGTACAAAATGCAGAGGACAAAGAGTACAAGAAGCTGAAGACTTCCTATTCCAACAGAGGGGGTATAGGTTATGGCATTGTTCATGCTGATATGACAGAGAATCTGAACAACAAGGAGAGGTTCTTGCAGTCCTATGTTTTGTATGTATTTGGCAACCTAATATGTACAACTCTGAACAATTGGATTAGTCCACTATTATGCTGGATTTTGAAGTCGCGGTACCTGGAAGATGCACGGAATTGGAATTTTTCAAAGTTTGTGCTTGACTGGATGATCAAGCAGCACAAAGAACTGGATGCAGAGAAGGGTGGCGTCAAGGGATCCCCCATCGTGCTAATGGTAAGTCATCTTTTACTTTACTAGCCTAGTTAAATTTGATTGTCATATAATAATATTGTCCTGTGCAGATTACATACCTTGACAGATTGAAATTAGGCGATAAAGGGCATCGGTGGCATACCGATAGACCAAGGCTTGGAATGTGGCAGCAAGCTGATATTGAACGCGCGATTCGTGCAGACTCTACTGCTGATGGGTCGTATGGTGCAACAGAGGTAATTATTGTTTTTTTGTATACAAATACAAGTTGAACGTTTCCTACTTGGGGTTAGGGACATGCTTTTGATCTGTTGAATTTTGTTTAGGTTGTTAGGGATGTTGTGTATGGGAAAGAATACCCTATTGGTCCGCGGAAGGACCTTCCTGTGTGGATGATGAGTCCGCCTCCTGTGAATCCTAAAGTTACCGTCGTAGAAAGGAAAAGAAAGAGACGCAAATGCAGAGCACAGGTCAGGGACTTGAAAGAATACAAAGACATTCAACACTATAGTTCTTTCGGAGAAGATGAGGTAGTTTGAAACCGAGTGTGACTAAGTTCATAGACTCTTACTTACCAGATTACTGATTACTCGAACTTTTCTTAAAGACAAGCAAAGGACATGAGGAAGAGGCCAATGTAGGACGAACTCAAAGGAGTAACAGAAAAAAGACAAATAATCAGGTAAAAGTTGTGGTCTTAACTTTGGTTGATTTGTTTGCTAATTATTGCTGACTGACTCCTATTGGTTGTGAATATCTTTCAGGAACTTCGTGTAGTTCCACCTGCTTTAACCCCTGCACGGGTTACAAGATCAAGAAGCAGGTTGATACAAAGGCAAACACCTGTTGAAGGGGATAAAAATGTATATTACTTGCATATAAAGTTTATGACATTGTGTTTGAAAAAGTTTAGCATTTCTTGCCTATAAGTAAATAAATATTAGGATCATTTTACATATTACAGTAGCTTATTATTCATAAAGGCGTGATTTCTATTTCACAGGTACAAATGAAAACAAGGGAAACAAGCACCACTGGGAAAGGTGGCAGAACAAAAACAAAGGATGTTATCACAAAAAAGAAAAGGACAAAAGGTAAAAAGGAATCAAGTGAGGATGATTTAAGCACTGAGAGCAACAGTGAGGATGACGAAGCTGATGACGATGATGAGGACAAGGATAGGAATACGGAGGACGATGAAGATGATGAAGAAACTGCAAGTGATGATGGGAGTGAAGGGGGACTAGGAAATAATGGTGATGATGACGATGAGCCTAATATAGAGGCCACAAACCCCAAATCTGGGAAAGGAGATGTGGGTGGGCCTGATAATGAAAAGAATGGTAACGAGGGAAATGATGGTGATGAAGATAAAACGGTGGAAGATGGTGGTGGGGAAGGCGGGGGTGATGATGACCGGAATGAAAACAATGCAGAACCAGAAGTGGACTGCGACAGCGATTACCTGAGCGACATTGATGACAATGAGGGCTTGCCCCAGATTTTTTATCACCAGAGATGCAGCATCACGGCGATTTGTGACAGAAGGTCAAACTATACTACGTCAGTAACAACTTTTGCCATAACGCTTATATGTGTACCTTCATGTGTTGGAGTATATTATGATAAGTGTTTTAATCAAACAGGTTTAAGGATCAGATTTTGTTCAAGTGGTATGATGTAACAGTCAACCGTCAATTGGTACACAAAGCATGTAAGAAGAAGTCTCCCATTCCAATAGAGGTAATGATTAAATTATATAACGATAACCTCTATTTCAAACAGTATGTGTGGGGAACATTTAAAGTAAAAGACATAATTAATATTGTGTTATACAAAAAATAGGTTATGGACGCATTTGCAGTTTACACAAACAATGAAGACTCCGGTAATGCAGATTTTGGATTGTACGTCTTTAGGCCATCATTTTTGGTACGCAATTTGTGCTGTATATTACCAAATTCAAATATTAAGCTACTGTTTTATAATTGGCTTATTTAACTTTTATATCATTGACTTATGTTTCCAGTGCAACCTACTGGAAGAGGATGCAAAACCTAAGCCTGCTGTTGAACAACTCTTGATTGATGAATCGGAAATGATCGACAACTATTTCTTGGCTGGAGGGAGAAAATTCAAGGATAATCGGAAGGTGTGTCTTCACTCCTAACTCTATGTTAACATTATAACAGTCAAACTGTGTTATTCATTGATCTTTCCATACCCAAATTCCATAGATTGGTTGTGTATGCTAACTGAATAAGAACTTGTGGATTTGTGTTACATATGGGACATAGGTGATTATGCCCATATTTGTCGATGGAGGATGGTGTGTTTACATTCTCAATGTGGAACGCAAAAATGTATTTATAATTGATTTCCAAAACACGCCTGAAGAGGATGAGGATGAAGAAGACAAAAGGCATGAGGATAGGATATTGGTATTGGTAAGAAGGCTAATTATGTGGTGAACCAGTTTCATGTAAATGTTTGTGGATAATCTCCTAAGACCCAATATTGATTGCTAATTTGTTTTTTTTTTATTTTATTAATTCTTTTAAAAAAATGAATAGGGAAAATACTTTAAGCAGATTCTTGGATTGACAGTCGATGCACTCTTGGAAGGTCCGTCACCAGACGTTGAAACGTATAGGTTTGTCAAGTGTGAGGACGTACCAACAGCAAAATCAGTCCATGAGACGGGCATGGTTTGTATCCTCTTCCTCTAAAGTCAAACCCAGTTTGTTTTCTCATGGCTTCGTGTGAGTATTTGTTTCAGTAAAATGTTTAGGTTTCTTATTTTTACCAACAAAATATTAACATCGAAATGGTCCTCTTAATTGCAGATGTATGAAAAGAATGATCTCCTGTTTCGAAAATAAATGATATGGAGGATGTTAATGGGGACGTGCAATGAAGTCAAAAACAACCTAGATGGTCTACTTTTGTAGATTTGGGGACATTTGAAGTATGAACAATTTATTTTCTATGTTTCAAGTCAAATCGAACTAGGTAATTTCTTTAAGCAGAAACTTTTAACTTTTTAGTCTTTGTCGTTTTTTTAAACAAGGGAGTAGTCTAAACTATTTAACATTTCCTCCTCTGTTTTTAATTAAACAGCCTCACCATGAATTTCCAAAAATCATAGTATTATATTTGGAGTCATATTATTATTTGTAGAATCATATCATAAATTAGCATAATGTCTATAATCGCATTTTATTGCATTTAGAATTAGTTGTTAACATTCTTTAAATTACCACTTGGTTGCATAAGCAATACACAATGAAATGCAGAAAATTACAATTACACACATCCACCTATCAACAGTTGTTTTATCCATCATCTTGATTTGCAAGTCCATGCTTGCCTTTTCAATAATGACCAATTTGAGAACCAATGACTCGGAATAACTCTTCATCTCTAATATTTTCTCTCGTAACATGTTATTTTCAACCTTATACTTGTCTACCTCGCACCTCAACAACATGCATTGTTCTTTTAGTTGTGTCAATGCAGTCCTTAAATTATTTGATTCAACCTCGTTTGTTTCATCTTCCCAACAAAAATAACCACAGTCATCATCCTATGCATGAAAATCAATTCAATTTTATGCGTATACAAAATAACAGAATTATTTATGAAAAAAAAAATTGGGGACATAACCTAACCTTCCAATATGAACAGCGGTAAAATTTCCTTCCGGCGTTAGATGTTTTTTTGCACACTAGTTTCTTGGCTGGTAGATTGTGCTTGCATGAATGTAAGCCGGAGTCATCGAGATAGTAAGAAGAAGTGAATGATTCATTATTGGAGGAAGTTTCTTCAACTACAGTCATCTTAACATTCAATTTTTATATGAATATGATTGAAGCTTTGTCTCAAAGCCCTAATTATTTGAATGCCATTCAATTGTAGCAAAAGAGTAATTTATAGACAAGGCTGTTGACCGTTGATGATTCAAATATAACAAGTGACCGTTGGAAGAAAATAATATTTTATTCCCATGATACATAAAATCAGATTCATGTTTAAAGTATCATTTTATCATTTACAGTTTGTTATACCGTTTACAGTATACATACAACTAATACAATACATTAGTGTACACAGTTTTGATATAACATATACAACAACATAGACTACAACTTTGAAGGTACACTATTGTGAGAACAACATATACCTAAACATAACTAATGATATTTGCCGTAATCAACATTGCGGAGTGTAATTCCCATATTTCATTGGGTATGGCTTTCCATAAACAACACCTTCAACATCATGTGAAACCAATGGTGTATGGTTAATAATTTTGTTAGCTGTAAAAACGAAACTAATTAACAACTTCATTTGGTAATATAAGTAGGTTGCAATAATCTTGTAAATACCTTTGATTTTCCATAACGACCTTGGTGAATGTGGACATATTTTATTGCCTTATCAACATTGTCTTGTGTCTATTCACAAATCCTGCATCCATTAGTTTTCCAGTCTACGATACTTGCATGCCTTATCCGGTCTAGGTAAATAATCTGCATCAAATAACAATAGGAAATCATCGGCTGTTTCTTGATTGAATCATTCATTGAACAACATATCTTTCTTTGTTAAGGAAACTTACCACGAGTAAAAGTGCTCCGCAACCTAGCACCTCCCAATTATCACTGTACTTGGTAAGCCACTCCAACATGTACTTACCCCAATTATATTCATACGCATTACTAGCGTTATTCAGATAATATACATGGGAAGAACTTATCCGAGTTTTATTATCCATTGGACAAAGCAAGACGCCCAATGTGTACAGCAGAAAGTGTTGCTTGAACATTGACTTGTTATGTTTCTCATAACGTAGTTTCTAATACAACTTAGAACGTTTTACGGCACCGCGCAGCGAATTCTCCTTGTAAATTTTTTTCAATAGTTTGAATTCTTCGTAGTAAGCCTTCTCTGGATAAAACAAGATGTCCCCACCAGGGACTCCTAAAACCCATCCCACCATTTCACTATCCACAACAATTGTCAAGTCCTCCCTTATTGTAAGTGAATGGGTTACAGGATCAAACCTTGAAACAATCCATCTAATAAAGGATTGATCAATCTTTGTAACGGACAGATTAAGCAAGTTGCCAAAACCCATTTTCACGACCCAGCTTCTTTGATCCTCATTCAACTTCCCAATTAGTTTAACAAAAGAACTAAGGTTCTTGTGGACACCACCAGACTGTCACAATAAGCATGTTTAATTATATCAACGAACTAAAACTGTTAGGTGAAATCAAAACATAATTTTTATTCTCAGATGTCTAGGATCAAAAATTATTGTTGGAATCAGATCAATAATAACAATATGATATTAAATTACACAGCAACAATAATCTATTATAAAACCACCTTCTACATACAACATAAAAACTAAACTTTAAAAATTATAGTCAAAGCAATTACAAAAAATGTGTACCTTTGGTAATGCTGCGGCATCAATTTCTGATTGTTCTAGTATTTGATTAACTGCCACATGTTTTACCCTTTTACGACAGGCCACATGCTTCTTCCTTCTACAAACCTCCGCCTTCAAAGGTTGTTTATGTATGATATATACATTAATCGTTCGACTGGTGAATGCCACCTCTTTTAATTTGTTAAAACCGTCTCCATCCACCAGATCCAGCAATTCGTCATTCATACATTTCGGAGGACCATATTTTATGCCATAAACATCATAACCAAACCCATCAATTAACGCCTTCAATCTCTCGGCCGCGAACTCATTTTCGATAAATTCAACGGTGAAGGATTCACCAAGTTGGTAACAAAGTTCAGGATAAAAAAATAAGCTTGCCACCATGGAAGACATTAAACACTGCACTAGTAACTTCACCCATCTAAACTTGACGGCGTATTTGTTTCAATTCAATTCAAAAATTGGAGACTTAATTGAATATATAGTACTAAATAACCTAACAACCATTTTAATTGACAGTATAAACAACTCAAAAAATGTAAGAATTAAGTGAAACACAGTGATGCAATGCATCCATGAAATTTGTCAGGGGAAGAACAAAAATATATTGTACAATATGAAATTCTCCATGAAATTTTCAATAATATAAACCAGTTGTTTGGGCCATCCAAGAAATACATGGTTTGAGCCCATTTATATTGATTTCGTAAAAAAAATAATAATAATAATAACTGTCCAAGCACCGGGAATCAAACCCTGGACGCGGAGTAAGTCCACAACATACATAACCATTTAAGCTACGGGTATCAGCACGCTAATTGCAAGTTCAAAATACGTTTTGATGTCTATGAACACTACAATGGTATAAATATTTAAAAAATTCCCTTGGGATGTAGGGATCGAACCTAGCACTACGGAAATAGAGAACGCTATCACTATCAATTTGGTAAAGGGTATCAGCACAAACATTTTCATAACACAAATCTATTTAACAACAAATAAAGTGTTGGTCGACTTTTCACATACCATAATAACAAAAATGATATTATAAACTAAATTATAACACTGAGTTATTTTCCGCTGTGACAGTGCCTGTAAATATACAAGGTACTCAACCAAATCAGAATTCATGGTTATAATGAACTAAAAATCAATAATCACCTTGATATCCCCATCGACGGCAACAGGATAATTACAAAACATGCACAAATCGACTACGTAGAACATGCGACTATGGTTGTAAGTATTCCGGCCAACAACACAAACTTTTCCGGCGACTACAACGGTGGGGATTGGTTTGATGAAAAAAAAACAATTAATTGGTTGGTAGGAAGTTCAAGTTTAGTTTGAAATTTGAATTAAAAACCTTACAAAATTTACATAAAATTTCATTTCAATTTGAATTGAAAAAATTAGGGTCCACAAAAAAAAAAATGTCATTTCACCCAATGAAAATGGAGTGTGCAAGATCCATTTACACACTAGAGTGTGAATGTACTGGCTTCCATTATATTAGGTACTTAGGTCTAGTAGTAATACTTTTCGTTAAAAAAAAAAAAAGTAGTTGTACTGTACATAGTACATTATACAGTCTAATTTAAAATAAAAATTGCTAATTTTTTTATGGGGACTTGCTACGAGTATCCTATTTTTTTTCTTTTATTGTCGTATCTGTACCCGAGTCCAAAGTAAGGACAGTGTCCCCGTGTCCTAAATTTTTGAAAATGACGAATCGGACACTCGGATCCGTACCAATATCGGATACCCGTACCCATGTCAATGTAACATAGCTTTCAAGTTTCCAGATATTGATATTGTTATCTGGTACGGAGTAATTCTTATTGCAGCATATCAAAAGTATGCAGCATAGACACAATAATAGAAGCAGAAAACATGTTATGGCAAAAAGAAGCTCAAAGCAAGGCCCAAAGAACCCACATATAATTACCCTGGGAATGCAACAATACTTAATTAGAATGTCAATCCAGCAAAAGTTTGACATGAACATCAACCCTGGCTAAATAAATTCACAATGATTTTAACACAGGCAAGCTCAATTGAACTTAATAAAAGTGCTGAGACTCTCAACATAGCAGACAAGCATCTGAACTACCAGAATATGGGGTGATAAAATCCAACCGGTCAAGTATCAAAATCACCTGGGTGCAACAGACTGACATAGCAGTCTGACAAAAGGCACAAAGCCACTAAATTTATAGAAATTTTTTTTTTTCCAAAAATATGAACATAGGGGCATGGCATCTAAACCAATAGTACCTCAATAACATGCTTTCTTCTTCTAATGTTAATAAATTTGGATACATTTTGGTAACAGACATAAAAGAAGCACAAAGCCGAATACCCGCAACATGAAGAGTCAGGTTTTCATTAAACGGAACTTGTTCTAAAGAGTTCGCATAAAGTTTTGTAGTCTAATATCCACAATGGTCAATCATCATGTGACGTTCAGGTCAAGATTATAAACTTAAACACCACTTGACTTTATGCATTGACTTTATATGGGTGCCTAAATATTCTAAAAGGCATGGAGCCAATATTCTCTATCCAAAAAACCTAAGTAATTTTCCAACCACATATTTCAAATATAATCGATGTTGGGGCATCCCAAGCCACTTAAAGGGCGAAGCAAAACTACACAAAATGGCATTGTAAGCAAGCTTAGAAGTACATTTAACAGAAGATTGGATGGTCTGGCCAACATTAATTCCCATCAGTAGTATCAGCAATTTAACACCCTATATTGTAACACGCTGCAATATTAATGCACAGAATATTCTAAGTGTTAAAATTTAGCACACAATATCTGAGTCAAGAGGTGAAAGATCAATAAATATAACACCTTAACTTGATATTTGCCCAAAACAATTCACAAAGCAATGATAATGAAGAAACTAGCACTTGCCTTTCCAAATCAAAAAGAGTTCCTTCTTCAGTTCCTTGGAAAAGGTCATCAATGGAGCAAGCAGCAGAATAAATTAGACGACAGTGATGGTTATATAGCTCATCTATGAGAGTAATAAATCTCCGTGCCTGAAAGCGATAACATTTGACACATCAAAAGCATTAAATATACTTCTCAAACATGAAACAGTGTCCTAGAGGTTAATGCATAAAGTTTGGATATAACCAATCAGTAAACATAGCAATAATTCCGTTGAGCAAGTGTAGATAATTAACACAGTTACTAAGCTTTGTCTAAGGATTTCAGGCATGGCCACTAGTGTTGGAAATCAGTATGTTTCCAGGTGTCAAACTAAATGTCAGGAAATTTGTATGTTTGTCAAGTGTCCACATCCATCTCAATAGTCTAGCACGATACTTGCAAAATCAGTAATCTAAAAAAATTATAAAGTACGGAAGTAATACTTTAATATGAATGACTGATATGCATAGGCCAATACATAACATATTAGCTGGTATTTAATGGCATGATTAAAGATCATAAGTGAAGCCGCCACAGCTAAGATAGAGCCAAAATGATTTACTAGTTGAAGATCCTTGTTAAATCTTCGGATATTCAAATTGATCTAAACTGATCAGGTTTTTAGTCATTAAATTATTATTGGATAGCATCATGAAATTAATCAATTTTTACCCACTACAAAGGACATGAAAAGACGCAGCGATTCATACCTTGTCCCTGATACGCATGCTTATTGCCAGTATGTCAGAAATAAAGACTGGTAATTTTCAGCTAATGCAATATAGTCTGCAGCCCCAACCTAAGAAGAATAAAAACAACAAATGTTGGTATTTAATATAAACTAATCCAAAAGCAAAGGCAATTGACAATGCACAAATTAAATGTACCGGTCTTCCACAAAGATACT